TTAATGTTACTCTGATCCGGTTACTTATGTTGTGGCAGATATTTAAGTAAGCTTTCTTAACGCTAATGTTATAATAGTCAGATTGCTCTGAAGATGGGAGGTGATATTCTATTAATGTTTACGTTCACACAGTCTGTGATTTTGGCCGGCCGTCTTTCCTGCAACGGCAGCTTTTCTGTATTTCCTTTCTCGTGTAATATGACTTGATCGCTTTAAACTCCGCACACTGAGCTCTGATTGGTCAGCAGGCAGTGCTTTCACTGAGTTGAGCTCTTAGCCTGCAACCTAACCTGCTCCGGGGCAGGTTAGCCGCTCAGCATAAGTTACCATGGAGATCTAGCCCGCTAAAAAGAGAACCAGCGTCGTAGGTCCGGATACCCTGAGTTTTCCCTGAAGTTAGCCGCTAAGCGAAAATCCTGCTTCGTAGTACAGGCCTCCGATCAGTTGTTTTTTACTCACCAGCTTTCTCCTTGATGACGTTCCATTCAGAGTAGCTGTCCAGATGCTCCATCAGTCGTGAGCAGAGGGTCACATGGCCAACGTAGTCCAACAGGACGTCAATGATCGGCCCCGCCCACCGAGAAATACTAGGAGCTGAGATCATCTCACAGAACTGTCAATCAACCACAGAGATGTCAATCATAATAATAATGATACATTTTATTCGTAAAGAACCTTCCATTGCTTTAACCAATCCAAAAGTGCTACAAGAGGCATAATCAATCATAGAGCTGTCAATCAATCACAGCTGTCAATCAATCAAATAACTGTCAATCAATCACAGACATGTCAATAAATCACAGAACTGTCAATCAATCACAGAACTGTCAATAGATCAAAGACATGTCAATAAATATCATAACTGTCAATCAATCACAGATCTGTCAATCAATCACAGATCTGTCAATCAATCAATCACAGAGCTGTCAATCAATCAATCACATATCTGTCAATCAATCAATCAATCAATCAATCACAGAGCTGTCAATCAATCACATAACTGCCAATCAATTACATAACTGTCAATCAATCACAGAGTTGTCAATCATATAACTGTCAATCAATCACATAACTGTCAATCAATCACAGAGCTGTCAATCAATCACAGAACTGTCAATAAATCAAAGATATGTCAATAAATATCATAACTGTCAATCAATCACAGAGCTGTCAATCAATCAGAGAGCTGTCAATCAATCACATAACTGTCAATCAATCACAGAGCTTTCAATCAATCACAGAACTGTCACATAACTGTCAATAAATCAAAGACATGTCAATACATATCATAACTGTCAATCATTCACAGAGCTGTCAATCAATCAATCACATAACTGTCAATCAATCACAGACCTGTCAATCAATCACAAAACTGTCAATAAATCACAGAGCTTTCAATAAATCACAGAGCTTTCAATCAATCACATAACTGTCAATCAATCACAGAGCTTTCAATCAATCGCATAACTGTGAATCAATCACCTAAATGTCAATCAATCACATAACTGTCAATCAATCACAGAGCAATCAATCAATCACATAACTGTCAATCAATCACATAAATATCAATCACATAACTGTCAATCAATCACAGACATGTCAATCAATCACGGAACTGTCAATCAATCACAGACATGTCAATCAATCAAAGAACTGTTGATCAATCACAGAGCTGTCAATCAATCACAGACATGTCAATCAATCACAGAGCTGTCAATCAATCACAGAACTGTCAATCAATCACAGAACTGTCAAAGCAGACGTTTGGTCACCTGAACGCCTCCGTGCTGTTCGGAGACCCTGTCTGAGTCCCTTTCTGATCGTGTGGTTTTGATTGGTGGATGAGGTCGGTTTCCATAGACACAGTTGAAGCAGGAGCGGGCGTGGCCCCCGTGGTCGAGCAGGTACTTGAACATGGGCAGGTTCTTCATGGAGAACATGTAGACGGCAGGGAAGGTGGTGAGGTGTGTGGGGATGGAGGCGTTGATATCTGCTCTGTGCTCCACCAGCAGGGTGACGGTCTGAATGCAGTTCAGCCTCGCCGCCACCATCAGAGGTTTGAACATGTCCCGGTTGGGGTCTGCGCCGGCCGCCAGCAGCATGCGCACCGCATGGATGTTGTTGTTAATGACGGAGAAGTAGAGCGGCGAGCTGCGGCGGTCCTGGTAGAGCCGCAGCCGTTCTTCAGACAGCTGAGCGTTCACATCAAAACCTGCCTCGATCAGAGCCTCCAGGACGTCATCACGGTTACGCTCAGCCGCCAGGTGAAGCGGGCTGATGCCGGCGCGGCGGACTCTGGTCTTACTGGTGACCGAGATCAACATGGAGACGATGCTGGGAATAGGAAACACAGGAATTAGACCAGACCAACTCTCGGAAAACTGGAAATTAGTGTGTGTGTGTGTGTGTGTGTGTGTGTGTGTGTGTGTGTGTGTGTGTGTGTGTGTGTGTGTGTGTGTGTGTGTGTGTGTGTGTGTT